GGGGGGGAGCTGGGTGGGCCTGGGGAGGAGCCCAGGGCTTTGGGAACAGACTCCCATTTTGCCTGAGGAGAGAAGGGATGTGGCCACTGACCTGCACCCACCTCTAGGGTGGGGCAGCCAATAACAACTGCACCTGACCGCTCCATTAGCCCAGCTCCAGTGTTCCCTCAAAACCAGGCCCGGGGGCTGGATATGACCCCCAAGTTGCCTGGATCCAGCCCCGAGGCTCAGGGCTTCTCCCGGAAATGGGAAGCCTGGATTGATGCTCCCCCCCCGGTCACCCCACTACAAGGCTAAAGCACACAAAAATCTACTGGGCTGGGGAATGTGGAGCGTGTCTTTCTCTGCAGTTGGGGGCCGCATCAGTTTTTTGTGTTTTTTTCCCTCTCTTCCCACTTGTGTATGGCCCCCTACTAATTTTTCTGTGGGTCAGTGGCACCCTCCAGCCCCCAAAAAGGTTCCCCACCCCGTTCTAAACTTTTCCATCCAGGTGTGGATTTTTTCCATCCTTGTGCGGAATAAATTTCTGCATGCACCGAGGCATGTGCAAATGTGCACCACCAGCGGAAACAAACCACCTCACTGGGGGCGCTCTACTAATCCGTGGGGTGGCATCGGACTCTCTCCCGAGTTGCTGCCCAAGTGCCCCGCTTACAGGGAAGGCTGCCCTGCTCTGAGAGGCAGTCGCTTCGGGCTGGGGCGTAGGGGTCAGCACACACTGAGGAGAGAGCCCCTCACTAATCTACTTCCAGCCTATTCCCTGCAACACGCTGCCCGCTAGCACTGCACGGGGGCATTGGTGTCAAGGAAGAGCGCCCCCTACTGGGGCATTGGCGCTGGGGAAGTGCGCCCCCTACAGAGCCTCCCATAAGAACATAAGAACAGCCACACTGGGTCAGACCAAAGGTCCTTCTAGCCCAGTATCCTGTCTGCCAACAGTGGCCAGCACCAGATGCCCCAGAGGGAGGGATCGCAACAAGTAACCCTCCCTATCTCCCACTTCAAGAGAAACAGAGGCTAGGGACACCATTCTTACCCATCCTGGCTAATAGCCACTGATGGACCTAACCTCCATGAATCTATGTAGCTCTTTTTTTAACCCTGTAGAAGTTCCAGCCTTCACTGAATCCTCTGGCAAGGAGTTCCACAGGTTGACAGTGCGCTGCGGAAAAAAAAACTTCCCTTTGGTTGTTATAAAGCTGATGCCTATTCATTTCATTTGGTGACCCCTAGTTCTTATCTTGTGGGAATAATTAAATAACGTTTCCTTATTCACTTTTTCCACACCACTCATGATTTTATAGACCTCTCTCATATCCCCCCCTTAGTGTCCTCTTTTATAAGAGGAAAAGTCCAATTCTTTTAAATCTCTTTTTATAGGGGACCCGTTCCAAACCCCTAATCAAATCTAGTACTTCTAAGCTCAATATCACAGCAAGAAATTGATAATAGCTATCTGTGATAGGGAAAGGGGGAATGATATAGGCTGGAGCACCAGAACACCAGGGCTGTGTCTAGACTGGCTTGCCCCAGATTGGCCCACTGGTTGTGAGCACCACGGTGCCGTCATCGTCGGAGCTTTTGCGGAAAAGCATCCGTGCCAATCTAGACGCTCTTTTCTGCAAATGCTTTTAACGGAAAAAAGCATTTGCGGAAAATCATGCCAGTCTAGACGCAGCCCAGGGGTTTTGTTTTTGTTGCCCGTTTCTGAATCTTTTCCAGTGCCAATATAGCTTTTTTGAGATGAGGCGACCACATCTGTACACAGTATTCAAGATATGGGCGCCCCATGGTTTTATATAGAAGCAACAAGGTATTTTCTGTCTTATTCTCTATTCCTTTTTGAATGACTCCTAAGATTCTGTTTGCTTTTTTGACTGCCTCTGCACACTGAGGGTATGTCTAAACTACATGGCTCTGTCGACAGAGCCATGTAGATTTGTTTGTTCGGCAAAGGGAAATGAAGCGGCGATTTAAATAATCGCGGCTTCATTTAAATTTAAACGGCTGCCCCGCTCTGCCGATCAGCTGTTTGTCGGCAGATCGGGGCAGTCTGGACGCTCCCCTGCCAACATGAAAGCCCTTTATCGACATCCCCGGTGAACCTCATCCTACGAGGCATAACGGGGAGGTCGATAAAGGGCTTTCAGGTTGGTGCGGGAGTGTCCAGACTAACACGCTGAGCCGACAAACAGCTGATCGGCAGAGTGGGGCAGCCATTTAAATTTAAATGAAGCCGCGATTATTTAAATCGCGGCTTCATTTCCCTTTGCCGATCAGCCTCATCTACATTGCTCCATCGATGGAGCCATGTAGTTTAGACACACCCTGAGTGGATGTTTTCAGAGAACTATCCACAGTGACTCCAAGATCTCTCTCTTGAGTAGCTGTAGCTAAATTAGTCCCAGCATATTGTATGTATAGTTGGGATTATTTCTTCCAATGTGCATTATTTTACATTTATCCACATTAAATATCATTTGCCATCTTGTTGCCCAGTCACTTAGCTTGGTGAGATCTTTTTGAAGCTCTTCACAGTCTGCCAAGATAGTCTGGTCTCAGATCAAGATAGTCTGCTCTTAACTATCTTGAGTAGTTTGATAACCCATCCCACAACGACCCTTCCTTCATCACTGCAGTATTAGGATGAGCACACGCTGTCAAATGAGGCCTCCCCTCCCCCTGAAGTTTCTGCTGACTTTCCAAAGGCCTTATGAAGACATCCTGCCCATGCCGGATCCGGCTGCGAGAGCCACTCCGGGCAAGATCCTGGCTCCGGCAGCATGTGGTTGGGTCAAGATCATTGGCAGGCTCTGGGCATGTTTGTTCTCCCACGGGTTGGGTGGGCTTGGAATAGCCTGAAGGTCTCTGGGCTGCTGCTTCTATTCACTTAGCAAGAGGAGTTTGGTTCGCTCTAAGCTGCCATGGGAGTGTGTCCTATGTTGCTCAGAGCTGGCTGAGAGCAGGCAGCCCACGTTTGCTCCGGCTCAGCAGAGCTCAATAATTGTTGCTTTTTTATTTTGGCAGAAGGCACCAAGGTGCCTTGGCTCCCATGTTTGTCCACATCCATTGTCACTGTTGTGCTCCCAGAGCGGGGTCCGGCCATTATCGAATGGCAGGTGAGATCCAAAAAAGTTAAATTTGATAACCTGTTGAACCATGAATGATCAATCTCACTTCTCAAATAATAAAGTCAACGGCATTAAACTAATCGGCTACGTCTACACTGGCATGATTTTCCGGAAATGCTTAAAACGGAACAGTTTTCTGTGATAAGTATTTCCGGAAAAAGCACGTCTACATTAGCAGAATGCTTTTCCAGAAAAGCACTTTTTGCGGAAAAGCGTCCGTGCCAATGGAGACGCGCTTTTCCGCAAAAAAACCCCGATCGCCATTTTCGCGATCGGGGATTTTTTGCGGAAAACACTACTGTGCTGTCTACATTGGCCCTTTTCCGAAACAGTTTTCCGGAAAAGGACTTTTGCCCCAATAGGAGCAGCATAGTTTTTCCGGAAAAACACTGACAATTTTACATTAGATCGTCAGTGCTTTTCCGGAAGAAATTCAAGGGGCCAGTGTAGACAGCTGGCAAGTTATTCCGGAAAAGCTGCTGATTTTCCGGAATAAGTGGCCAGTGTAGACACAGCGATCCTGAACATGTCTCTGAGCACCACTCGTCCCTCCTCTGCCTAGCTCTCTATTTCAGTTATTACAAAGAGAAATATGTGCTTTCATGGGCACAACCCACTTCTTATTTACGTTCTCCACACAAGTCATGATTTTATAGAAGTCCATCATATTCCCCCTTAATCTCCTCTTTTTCCAAGCTGAAAAGTCCCAGTCTTATGTGAGTCTGGAATAAGTAGATATAGAATCATAGCGCACTAGAACTGGAAGGGACCTTGAGAGATCATCAACTCCAGTTCCCTAACCTCATGACAGGACTAAGCACCAACCGCCATCTAGAAACAACTCACCATCTATCAGGTGAGTTGTTTCCTGAGGCTAATTTAATTTACCCTCATCCTGTTTGTTCTCCTTTTTAGCCAAACTTGCTAGAGGCCTAAATGCAGAATGAGCCACTATGGCCAGCAACTGCCTTTTAATCCATAAAATTGTTACAAAAAACAGTGGAGACTCTTAGAGATGCTCAAAAATAATGGTTTAGTAAGGAAAAAAAGGACTATTCTGATGAAAAGGAGAGAGAGGAAGAACACTAGAAGGCCAGTTTGGCTCAATCAGCAACTCATTATTGGCCTGAAAATCAAAAAGGAAACCCAATAAAAAGCGAAAACATGGACAAATTGGACGGGGAGGAGTACAAAAGAAAGCACAAGCACGTAGGGACAAAAATCTGAAAAGCTAAGGCACGAAATGGAAGTTTTTCAAAGGGACATTATTAATGGCCCAAAAGCAAACTATTCCATTGCTTAGGAAAGATTGAAAGTATGGCAAAACACAAGAAGACATTCTATAAAGGGAGGAAGGCCAAGGACTGGGTAGGCCCATTGCTCAGTGAAGAGGGAGAAACTATAACAGGAAACTTTGAAATGGCAGAGGTGCTGAATGACTTTTTTGTTTCAGTTTTCACCAAGACGTTTGATGGTGATGGAATGCCTAACATAGGGAATGCTAGTGTAAAAGGGATACGTTTAGAACTTACAAAAAATAAAAGAACAAACTTAAAAATTACTTAGAAAAGTTAGACATCTTCAAGTCACCAGGGCCTGATGAAATGCACCCTAGAATACTCAAGGAATTGATAGAGGAGGTAACTGAGCCTTTAGCTGTCATCTTTGCAAGTCAGGAGAGATTCCAGAAGACTGGAAAAGGGCAAATCTAGTGCCCATCTATAAAAACGGAAATAAGAACAACCCAGAAAACTACAGACCAGTCAGTTTAACTTCTGTGCCAAGCAAGATAATGGAGCAAGTAATTAAGGAATTAATCTGGAAATAATAAGGTGACAGATAACAGCCAGCATGGATTTGTAAAGAACAAATCATGTCAAACCAATCGGACATCCTTCTTTGATAGGCTAGTAAGCCTTGTGAATAAGGGAGAAGCGGTGGACGTGGTATACCTAGACTTTAGTAAGGCATTTGATACGGTCTCGCATGACCTTCTTATCAATAAACTAAGCAAATACAATTTAGATGGGGCTGCTATAAGGTGGGTGCACAACTGGCTGGATAACCATTCTCAGAGAGTAGTTATTGACAGTTCACAGTCATGCTGGAAGGGCATAACAAGTGGGGGCCTGCAGGGGGGCTGTTTTGGGACCGGTTTTGTTCAATATCTTTATCAATGAGTTAGATGATAGCACAGAGAGGATGCTACACGGGGCTCAAACTAGGTAGTTTGAACTAGGATTCCTATTCCTACGAGGTGTACTGGTAGTTCGGAATAGGAATCCTAGTTCGAACTACCTAGTTCGAGCCCCGTGTAGCTGAGCTGCACAGGGTTCGAACCAGCGGGGTCTTAAAGATGGTGGCTCCCCGCTTATGCAAATGAAGCCCGGGAAATTCAAATCCCGGGCTTCATTTGCAAGTGCGGTATGCCTACATTACCCTCCTAGTTCGAACTAGCGGGGTAGTGTAGACATACCCTCAGTCTGTGTCTACACAGCCGAAATAATGTTGAAATACTGGCCAGCTGGAGGACTTCTTCCTCCGACTCCTGTAACCCTCATTGTACCAGGAGTAAGGGAAGTTGGAGGAAGAGTGCTCTATTTCAAAATAAGTGTTGTGTCAACGCTCCCGATTTCGAAATAAGCTATTTTGAAATAAGCTACGCAATTGACGTAGCTCAATTTACGTCGTTTATTTTGAATTACGCCCTGCTGTTTAGATGCATCCTAAGTCCAAGGTAGCGTGTCCACAATAACGGAGCCCACCTCAGACTAATTTCGAGGCTTCCCAGTCACTTAGACATGCTAGTTTGGTTTCATTAAATCGGGAGTTATGAAGTCAAATTTCCTAATTTCGAAATAGTTTCCTCGTGTAGACATGGCCCCAAGTACTTAGGCAAAATCTCTTGCAGTGAGATGAGGCTTGGAAGGATTAAAATACCCTAGCGACTAAGGCTAACGATTCAATTCACCGCACACGCATAGCCTGACAAATGTATTGCCATCAAAAATAACTGAAATCGACAGCTGGTTAAGGTAAGGAAAATGCTTCTTCTAGACACGCTTGTTTAATTTTTAACTTCTTTGCTTTGTATATGAGAAGAGGTGGCGATCGATTTCTGCTGCAAGCATTCAAAAAACTTTATCTTTTTTCAATCCCAATGGTACTTAAATCATTGTCTGACCCTGACCCCTTCCCCACAATATCCTGACAGTTGAAATGAATAAAAATTGGGGTGAGAGGAGGAGGAAATGCTCCCAAATAAATGTGGGTGATACCTGTCAAGTTATAAAGTGCAAACACTGAGATCTGCCAAGGCTAAGCAGTGTGCACTCAGCGTTCTGCTCGCAACGTAGGTGAACAGTGGCCAAGTTCTGGCGCCAGCGAAAACCGCGAAGCGCCAACTCGCTATGAGAAGCAGCCATGGGGCAAACGTGCCCAGGGCTGTCGATAATGTTCACAACCCAGCCACATGCTGTCAGCACACGGATCTGCCCTGGAGCAACCTTCGCAAGCTTAGAAGGTTGTGACGTGGGCAGGATTTCAAAAGGCAACAACCAAAAGTCAGAAGAGGCTAGAAGGGGTAGGGTCGGGCGCTATTCCCATACCGTTAGGGTTGACTCCAATGTCCCAGCTACTGTGCAGCAGGGACCAGGACCATCAGAAGGGGGAGTTTTCCCTTGAAATCCCTGCTGAGTCCAATGTCCCAGTGTGATACTAGGACCAGGGAACAGGTTCAGTAGGAAGTGCTCTCCCCTCGAAGTCAGTGCTGTCCCCAAAGCCCTAGCATTGTGTTGGGGTGTGTGCCCTGCTGCAGGGAGCCAGGTGGGAGCTCAGTCATAGGCACGGTCACCACTGACCCGCCTGCCCACACAGAAATGCAGTTTCCGTTGGGGAAAAATGTCTGCGTGGCACATGAATTCTGCGTGCGACAGTGGCGCATTGACCCCCCCAGGAGCACTCCTTGCAGAGGGGTTCTAGGAGGCAGCGAATGCTGGACTTCACATTCGCAATAACCAACTCACGGCCTTGCCTCCCTGTGAAAATCCCCTTGCTCCTTCTCTTATCAAAGGGTATGGACCCTGGTCACCAGGCTAAACACCATCTCCAGTTATTCCATTCAGCCCCATCCTCTACATTCCACTTCTCTTTTCTATGAACACAGGATCCCTGATTCCCCACCAAAACTGTTATGCTTCTAAGAAGCACACGGATTCTTTTTTTTTTTAGGGGAAAAGGAAATACCCTGCCTTTATTAAGAATACAACAGTAAAGCAGCCAGCATATGCTTTCATAGACACACACTCATACATACACACACATACACCAATTCTACCAAAATTGCTACAATGACCAGTTTGCTCTTTTTATTAACTTATTGGCCAAGTAGACTGAGTTTGGACCAATACTCCAGGTTTGCAAAATGGGATCCCAAAATTACGGAAATCAGCCCCTTTTTATAATAGTTATTTTATTGGTCTTAAAAGTCTCAGAGGGAGAGCCATGTTAGTCTCTAACTTTAAAAAAACAATGAGTTGTCCTGTGGCACCTTGTGTCTAGACTACAGGGTTTTGTTGACAAAAGTGGACTTTTGTAGACAAAACTATACCTGCATCTACACTACCACGGAGTTCTATCGACATAACGTCAACAGAACTCGGCAGTTTTGTCGACAGCGGTAAACCTCATTCTACAAGGAATAACGTCTTTTGTTGTCAGAGTTCTGTCGACAGAAAGCGTTATTGCATCTACACTGTCCTTTGCATCTATACTCTCATGTCGACAAAGCGCTTTGCTTTGTCAACAGAACCGGATGTAGTCTAGACGCTCTTTGTCGACAGAGGCTAAAACCCAAGTGGGGTTTTGTTAGTCTTTGTTAGTCTACATGTTTTGTTAGTCTTTAAAGTGCTACCGGATTTTTTGTTGTTTTTTAAGTTTATCATTTATATATATATATATAAAAGTCTCCATACATCTACACTGCATTCTTAATTTGAAATAAACTACGCAATTTGTGTAGCTTATTTCAAATTAATTTCAAAGTAGCTTATTTTGAAATTTGGTGCTGTCTACAGAGCACTTATTTCAAAATAAACCACTCTTCCAAAACGTCCCTTACCCCTTGCGGAATGAGGTTTACAAGGATATCAGAATAGCGAGTCCATTATATTACAAAATAACAGGCGAACTCAAAAGAAATAACACTGCAGTGTGGATGTAGCTTAAGGTGCAACAGGACTGCTGATTTTTATTGGGATTAGTAAATTCTACCCCATTATGCTGTTATTAATTGCCATTTGATAAGTGCGTGGTTTAATTTTTTTATGTTACAGCTGTTTTGTTTTAATTGATCAGTAAGTGCTTATCATATTTTTTAGAGTTGTTAATTTGCTTTTTATTCACGTTTTGATAGGGGCATACAGCAATTTTTTGGTGCCTTTATATGTGTTTTTGGCTCTTTTTTTAGAACATTTGATGTGGTGAAGGTCTTTCCCCTTATTTTTTATTACACATTCTTTTCTTGATTCACACACAAAAACAGGATTGATTTCTTTTTGTGTGATCCAGACACAAGGTAAATTGTTATACCAGCACATTAAATGACAATGTAAAGAAAACAATCATCCTCCCGTTTTACTGATTTTACAGTGCAAATTTTGAAATGTAAAATCAAACCCATAAGGATTCCTTCAGCTTTAAACGCAAAAATTTTGGCTGGTGCACCTTGACGGATGGTGCATTTAGCCTATTCCTTCCTGTTCTCAGAAAGGGTGCCTGGCAGAGCACAATGAATCATCGTTCTAAAATACATTAATACATTTAATACTTAAACTAGTAAATTATTGCTTTTTTATTTTATACCCTAAAATAGGTGGTGGTGTTGCCCAGTAATTTTTTTTTTTTTTTTTTTTTTTACTGCACCAGGTACCCAGAGGAGGCTGTGCCACATTAATCACAAAGATTCTCTTCCTAGAACTCAAAATACTATTTACCCACGTGGGTGTCTCTTTCCAAACCCCATGACTCCTCCACCACTGTCCCACCCCAACGTCCCTCCCCCTGTGTGTGCACAGCCTAATGAGCACACAGTTTGGAGGATTAATAAACCCCGGTGGTAGCTCCTGGGCTGTTGTTCTCAGCATTGGAGGTGCCGTGTTGGCTCCAGCACCCCCCATTCGCCATCGTGCTGAACTGCAGATGGCGCCGAGGAGAAAGGCAGGTGAGTCTGTATTTCCCGGAGCTCTATCGTTTCCGAGATAAGTCCAGAGGGGCTAAGGGAATAACTGGAAAAACAGGAGGAATTGGGACCCATCTAAATAATTACCTATCTCGTACCCTTTCCACACACCCCGCTCTGGGAGCAGGGGAGAAAACCCACGAGTGCAGCCTCCTAAGCTCTCCTACCCTAGAGTCAGAGGGGCTAAGGGAGGAAAAAGAACAACAGCAG